ATTTTTGGCAGACGTTTAAAAAGAAAACGCAAATTTATTGAAAATGTCTCGACGTTTTTTTGTTTTAAATAATTGTAATTGATAGAAGATAATTGTAATTAAATTCAAGACCTTGTACAGGATATCTTGAAGACCAGTGTAAAATTTCATCAAGATCGGTTGAGTAGCTCACGAGAAATTTTGACAACCGACTTTTAAAACACAGTTTCGAAAAAACGCGTTTAAATTTTTAAGTTACCTGACCTCGAGCGCGCAACTTTTACAAAGCTGTACCTTCAAAACTATTACTGGAATCAACTTGAGAATTTGGGACAACATTCTAGAGATGTTTTAGAATTATATAAGGCAAACCAAATACTTTCTTGAAGCCGTGAAACCAACGTAACCCCTTAATATAAATGATATATGGGGCACATGATATTTCGCGAGGTTTAAGTGAACTTTTCCTTCCTTTTTTTTTGTGGCGGGCTTTATATTACCCTACAATGAGAGAATTCTGTACTTTTTCAGTCGGCTTAAAAGACGGAAAAAAGGTAAGAAAAACTCTTCCTTTCAGAAATATACACGTCTAAATTTGCTCCGTCAATATGTTAACTAACAAATAACTGAGTGGTAGTAGCTCTCGTTATAATTTTGAGGTTATATTTTTTTTACTGTAAAATACGCTCCTAGAATTTTACATCTAGAATAATGGATTTTATTTTTTATGAAATGTGTGTGAATCCAACTCACTTACAGCACTTACACTTGGCGATTAGCCACCATTGAGTGTGTTGTTTTTTAAAGCGCGCGCGTCGACCCCATTCTTCGTAAGCTTTTTACAACTCAACGTCCGCTCATTATCACTAATTAAAGTTGTTGTTGCTATTTTATTTATTTTTTCTTTCTGAACCAAAAAAAAAAATCTGTTGTAAACTGTATTGTTTCGTTCGAGACGTTTGAAAAACCTGCCAGTTTTGAAGGTTGACATTTTGTGTAAAAAACTAACGGTTATTGAACTGGCAGTGTACGAACTTGCCATTCGACACTGAAAACTAAAACATGGACACATGTATATGTACGAACATCTGCTTTATTATCTCCATCTAACCACCCACCCAGCCCCTCCGCGACGCATTTTATAAGCCAATTGACCTTGTCTTCTATGGCTGCCTTGCTTTTGTGGGGGGTGTTGGAGCAGTGCTATGAAAAGTGCGACCAATGTCCACAATGACTAATCGTAAATCAATGTGTTGGCGTTGTATACATATGTATGTATGTATGTATATAAAAATATTTTTTTAAAAATTTCAAATGTGTTCACTCGCCAAATGTGACCCCTCTACATTACGCATGTTTTCATAATGTTATTCTTTATGTTTTTATTTTTGTTTTGATTTCATTGGCATTGCATTGAAACATTTCTGATTTCATATCAATTCCATCTGATTTACATAATTTAGTCATTGGCCGATGTACACATGTTTGGCCGAAGAAAACACAAATTAATTGCCTATACATACAAACAGATCTATAAATGTTTATATGTATGTCAGTATACATTATAAATTAAAATTTAATATTTTCAACAATACAATTTATTTCGTTTGTAGATTTTGACATTGAAAATGAAAATTAAAAGATTTTCACATTTCGCAATTGAGCATTCATTCATATTTGATACGTGAAAACATACATACATACATTAATATATGAAAATAGTATATCAATTTGAACATAAAATTGTGTATAATATTTTCATTAATTTCACGGCGTCTGTTTTTCGGCGGCCCGCACAACCAAACGTTAATTTCATATTTTAAATAATGCTCATCTGGCAACCATGACTTGGTCATTGGTTTCGTTTGGAATGCTTCATAAACATACATACTTACATATATGTACATCTCATTTTTTTTAATATGCAACTTTGTTTGCTCTAATCCACTTTTGGTTCTTTTTTGTTTTGGTTGAAATGCCCCGATCTTTCGAAAACAGGCGTTTATTGATTTCGAAAAAAAATATTTCACCCCACATTTTTCTTACATTTACATTGAGTTTAGATATTATTGTGCCAACACTAAAAATTCTTAAGTGATTTTGTAATGTACACATACATACAGTGCGCTCAAAAAATAACGTTTTCGTTTTCCAAAGTGTAGGTAGCATTTATTGGGAAACCTATTGTAATTATAAAAAATATATTGTTTTGTTATAGCTGAAGTTTATTCAATAGTTGCTCTAATCTGACGCGTTGCCTATTACAACCTGACATCTTTGATGGCAACTTGCAACTAAATTTTCCGCATATTCCATAAGAAGCGACGCCCAGGTATGTTGGAGTAGCCGAATGTAATCTTTTGTTGACGTTAAGTGTTTTCTCAATATTTTAGCTTTCATTAAAGCCCAAACATTCTCTTTTGGATTGGCGTCTAGTGACTGTGATGGCCAATCTAAAGTAACAATATGGATTTTTTGTTTCCATTGAGTCTACTCCTATGTTTCGAATCGTTGTCTTCCTGCAGTATCCATTCATTGTTAGTTTTGCCATCAAACATTTCAGCTGACTTCAGTAATCCCTTTTTATACAATTTTATCATTCTTATGGCGTTGAGGTTTTCTGTGAAGCAACTTAAAACAAAACTTGACTCATCTGTATATTTTACATTGCTCCAGCCAGGGTTGATGGTTTCCTACGCCCAATGCAATCTTTTTTCATCTCTGAAGTCTGTCTGTCCCGTATTGTATTTAGAGATATATCTTATCCCCTTTTAAACTAAATTTTTAAGCTTATCTTAGACTGAGTAGTGGTTTCTTCTCAAAAAAGTGCACCATAGCTTTGTCCTTACTTTTAGATGTCACATGATTTCTCCCTCTGCCTGGCTTGTCATTTACGTTTCCAGTTTCTCCATAATGGTCAGTTCACCTTTCACAAATGTACAACTCATATTTAAATACTTTGCAGTTTTTTTAGTTGCCCATTTGGGGCCGTTAGAAAGGCTGCTTCAAAGCGTTTTTCTTATTTCACGGCACGACGTGAACCATTAAGAAGATCGAAAAACCTGACCGAATGGTACGCGTCAGTGATCGCAATTGAATATGTGTAAATTTGCAAAAAAAAAATAAATACAGTTTTCCGCGAATTGATCGCGTCATAGAAAAACGTTATTTTTTGAACGCACTGTATGTATATAAACTTGAAGACTTGTATATTTCGAGCACTATTTAACAATTTTATGTCCAATAAATTTTTAACTTGGCTATTGAGCTTGTAACAGTTTTTATTGTTAAGTAATTGTAGATATTTAGTAAATATTCACATGAAATTCACTCTAAAATATATGTGTATGTGTGTATATATACATATATGTATTTTAATTGTTTTTAAACTATGTTTACATTTATTGTAAAGTTTATAAATGAAACGGATATTTATCGTACATGCAATTGTGCAAGATGTAAGTTTTCCAAGCGTGGAATTTTAATTGTGTAAGTTTTTTGTATGCTATGTTATACTATGATCTGTAATTCTGTGTTATGTTATGCTTCTGCTGTAAACTTAAACAAGTGATGGAGCAGTTTTTTGTATCAATTGTTCTTGAATGTTGACTATAGGGAACTTTCAATATTTATTTCCATATGTCCTAGAAATTGTAGCCCCTATCTATCTATAATATTATGTTAGTACGTATGTATTATCTATTGAAATTTTAATTTAGGCTATCTTAAAAATTTAGTAAAAAACTGGTAAGGAAGGCCAAGTTTGGGTTAACCGATTTATACTCTCAATGGATCAATACTTTATTTTAAAAAATTTTGTAATTAATCCAGTAATCCGTAGAGGGCGTAATGGAAGAATTGGGCACCAAAAAAAGTATATGCTTCAGTACTTTTTCAAGACATATTCCAATTTTAGTCAATTTGATTCATCTTGTTCAATGGAGGCTGGCCTTCTGATATCACCTCGAAACATGAATTGGTCAAAGAAATACATCAGTAATTTATAAGAACCCTGCATTTAATCGTTAAGAAGATGAAGCGCTTTATTATTCATATTTTTAATGAACCGATCATGTAGGCGTTTCATAAATTAATTACAATTTTTTAAGAAATTTCTTCAATTTGTTCACAGATATTTAGAAATACGTATTATACTATCAAAAATACAGTTGTTTTGTTGGTTTTATTTTTAGAAGTATTAGTAGGCAATTTTCATATCTATAATATAATAGGCGTCTTCGGTTTGCCACTTACATATGAAAGTAACAACAGGTATATCTGTTTGATTTCAATACAAAAGATTGCGTGGATAACACATTATAATTGCATGAATTCATTTCTATTCTATCTCTCTTTATTTTATTCAGTCTTTTGTTCGATTGGCCACTCTCCAAGTTTTGTTGAATTAATTTTTCCATAGTTAGTTCAAGAATATAAATAGCAACCTCGTAATCACTCTTAACCTATAATCCCTGACATAGAAACCATTATATGTATCATTATCACCTCATCTCACCTGACTTATGCACTAACCAGCTACAAACAAAAAAGAAAGAATGTGTCCTGTACTATTCAAATTGGCTGACTTCATTCAAGCACTGGAATGTTTGGTATGTTGTTTTAGTACCCTCGCACCTCAAGCCTTGAAATTAGCTCTTGTTATGCTTAATACCGCCCGCACATTGTTTTTGTTATTTTTCTGCTTTCGTAAATAATACTTGTTGTCGAATGTTTGCGAGGGATTTTCTTCATGGTGAAAAACAAGAAATACTTTATATTCCGTTACCCAAAAGCGAAACGTATTGTCTAGTCGGACATACTCCATACCCCAACCATTCTCCGCACATATTTATATGAAAAAAAATTTTGGATTTTTCTTCTGGGAATCACTTTGCTATTTTTATAAGCGTACTTATGCTATGCCAAGTTGCTTGCGGTATTTAACTAAATATTATACGTAAGAATACTTACGCCTCCACTTGATTATTTAATTAGTGTAATAAGCGCATATCTATTTTCAGCCGGCGTATTCATGTTCAATTATGTATGTTAAACGGCTATCGTATTGGCAGCTAAAATTGACGGAATGATTAAGACACAGACGCAAGTAAAGAGCAGAATTAGAAAATTGTTTTGATATCAAAAAAAAAAAACATAAATTTCTAATTAGTTTGCATGAAACTAATCGCTGAAAGTTTTATTAGAGAATTCTAGAAATCTAAATAAGCGAGTAAAGGGTAACATTTGAGCATTTGTTTATATAATATTTTGCTATAATTTCTCCAAAGAAAAACAAATATGAATCAGCCTCTCTTAGTGTAGCATTTCGTAAAGTGACACACCGTTTTGATTGTGCTTAATTTTTTTTCAACGCAAGCAGCTGGAATGGACCTGAAGATAAGTGATCGCACTAACAAAGAGGCCACAGCGTTTCACAAATTAGGCCAGGGTTGCTCAGCTAGTAGCTGTCTTTAGCAAAAACTTCACTGTGGATCTTCTACAAAACTAACACCACATTTATGGAATCTATCTTCTATTCAGTTACTCTCCACAAGTTCAAAGATAAGCTTGAAAATAAAGGTAAAGATCTTCCAACTGATGGAAACCAAATTTATTCAAATTTAATCTAAGACATGTTGGATATCTGAGTAGCCTTTTATATTATAGATTATGGAATTATAGCAACTAGATATTGACTCCACTTTACACCCTGTATAGGGTATGTTGAGTTTGCCACGAAGTTTATAACACCCAGAAGGAAACGTCGGAGACCTCATAAAATATATAAATGATCAGCGTGACGAGCTGAGTCGATTTGTTCATGTCTGCGAATATGGACCGCACATGTCGACTATTAAAATTCAAAAGGAATAACGTAAGGACTCTAGTAGGAGTGCCAACTGGTCCTGTTTTATTGACAGACATGCCAGTAGACTGGGAGTATGATACCACACCTATTGTAGAAGCTGGAAGAAGAGACTATAGAACACCTTTTATTTGAATGCAACACTTTGTATAGGAATATATTGGCAACTATCGGTCGAGGATTTTTTTGGCGATGTCTCGGAGCCTGCACATATAAACAGTATATATATTGATGAACTTCATCAGAAGCACAGAGTGATTTAGAGTAGACATAATAGAGTGAGGAGATTTTAGTCCTGGTGGTTTCACAATGGGCCTCCTAAAGGCCTAGGTGTCTCGTCAGACATCCACCCTACCTAGATAACCATGTCAGTCTGTCCGTCCATCGGTCTGTATACGAACGCGAACTAGTCCTTCCTTTTTCCTTTTCCCCCCAAAAAGCTGTTTATTTGTCGGAACCGCCGATATTGGACCACCATAGATCAAAATCAAGCCCTTGTATGTTCGGTGCATCCTACGTTAATGTTTTTTCTTGTTTTTGGTTGAATTTGCAGTGCTTGGTAGTAGGTTAGAATTTAATTCTAATATTAAGACAAGTGCACTTCTCCGATATAAATAAACTTAATTTAATTTTACACACAAAAGACTACTTCAAGTCTTATAGACGAATTCTAGGCCATCCCTAACAATTCTTATAAGTTGTAAAAATACGATTTCAAAATATTTTTCGTTGATTTCAAGGTAGGTGATGCTAAACTTCCAAATATATTCCCGACATGTAAAAGTTCTAAAAAAATCTTTAATTGTTCGAAGGTAATCTAAAATTTTCAGAAGATTTTATTTAACGGTATGTATATATTTCGACCTACCTCACAGAATACACTTAATCAAATATAGTAAATTACATAACCAGTACTAAGCGGAAGTCTCGGTTTCCCGGTATAATTTTTATGATATATAGATAGGTGCTATGTACATACGTACATACATACATATTTGTAAGTACATATGTATCTTTCTTACAAGGATCTGGAAACTTCTATTGGGTTTAAATCCAAGACAAGTTTAATCTAAGTATTTCTTCTACTGATGTAAAAATGTATGTATCTAAGTATGTATGTAAATTTATAGCATACCCGTATTGGCAGCTCACCATAGCTTCCTTGTGCTAGCGGCGCTTGAGCGTTTTGCTGCTGGTGAGAAGCTCGGGTTGGGGCCGCAATGACGTGCAACTACCAGCAAAAGTTATTATTATTAGTTTTATTACTGTTGTTGTTTTAATCGCCGTTACTATATATGTATTATTAGTTGCAACTTGTTATTGTTGTTGTAATTTAATGCGCGCGCATTGTTGGATCAATTGCAAAACAGCCGGCCGCAAACAACAACGAATACATTTGTTGTTGTGATAGTTGTATACTATTGTGGTTCTGGTTTGACTGCCGCCTCCCACCACTCAACGCCCGATTGCGATATGCGAATGCCCGAAGCACACACACACACACACACAAACAAACATTCATAGACGCATTCATTTCTAGATATGTATATTTGTATGTATGTTTGTGCATATATACGTATAGCTTGCGTTCACTTCGGTATAGGTATGTATGTATGTATGTAAACAATTTCAATTATTCGCCCGATTATTGTTTTTACTTACAAGCATTTTTACGTGTGTTTGTGTGTTCTTGTTTTTCCCATTTTCCATTGTTTATTTTTTCGATAGGAAAATTTATGTAAAGCAAATCCAGAAGTAGGCGAACTGCGAACAACCAACGGCGTACGTCAGCCCCAAAACGTCAGCAGCGGCGGTCGCCTTAATGAATGGACTCGCTAGCTCTCGGCTAAGGCAGTTGGCGGAGGCGTATGTACGTACGCTTTTATTCGCTTTGCGGTTATGCTATGCTCAATGCGGCTATGATATGTGCATGTATGTATATATGTTTATATGTGTTTGTGGTGTTGCTGCGGTTGCCACCAAAAATGCTGCGCCACCTGCCTCACTGAGGACGTATGTACCCATACAAACATTTGTATGTATGTACATATGTATATCCAGTTGTACATTTGTATGTTTGTATGTGCGCAGCGCCGCCTGCAAATATCGAAACATTTTATTGTTGCCAATAATTTTCGCTCCATTGCCGTTTAGTTGGCTTTTGTTTTCATAATCGTACGCTTCTTTCAATTCGTGTCGGTGCATAATTTTTTTAAATTTTTACTCCAACTTGCGCTTTGCAGCAACGCGCTGTAACGTTTACATGTTTGTGTTGGCCTTACTTTGGCATCGCTTTTATGGACTAAAGTACCAACTGTATTAATTACGCTACAAATTGACAGTTTGCATAAAATATTGAAAAAAAGTGCTCGTATAAAATTGTAAGTCGTGCACTTGGCGCTATTAACCGGTACAGTAATTGTTGTTGTTGTTGTTGTGTGTTGTTTAAGCTCTTGAATGAATTCCTGCACGCAGGCGCTTATGTTGACGTGCCATGTATGCGCGTAATATCAATCAATTGTGCTGCGGAAGATCACGCTTGTATACTTCTAGTCTTGCTCTTTGTAATGCCAAATGCCAAAAAAGTTCGTGCAGTTAATTTAAACTTTTGCTTCACTGACGAAGTTTACGTTAGTAAGTTCAAATCGATTGTAAGATATGTAGAGATGAACCAATCTGACTTTACATGTTGGTTCCCAGGTGTGGTAAAATTATGTGGTCCATTCTGCATCTTACCTCCTTAAAATCACAAACTCAATGAGAGGGGAGTAGGATCAGTTCGTGTAAAACCAAGCCCACTTTTTTTAATATTTTTTATTTTTTTTTTTATAAAACAGTTAAAACAATTTTTTAAAACCAATGGTACATTATAGTATATAGCATATACAAAATATATTATATCTTTAGATAATCCCTTTGCCCAGGTAACGCCGGGGAGTTTTTCGCAATATAAATTTAGCACTTTTTGGGAACACTTTGAAGAAAAAACGTTGATTGGTATCCTAAAACGAAAAATATTTAAAACCAAAAAGTTTAAAAATTTACAGCGTTATCTTGTAAATTATGTATAAAACTAGTTTTCAAAATTTCAAAACGATCAGTGGAATAGTTTTGAAGTTGTGACATTGAAAACGCTTTAAAGATTTGAAATCTAATGTAAAATGTTCATAAGACAGGTATAAAAATATTTGTAACTCAATTTTGCTCCAATCGACTTGAAATTTAGATACAACATTCTAGAGATATTATGCATTCATTTAATTCGAAAAAAAATTTAAAAGCCCTACTTAAAATATTTTTTTTGTTTAAACGGGGTTCAGATAATGTATTTATATTCCTAACGTGGATTATTTTTCTTATTTGATTTTTATTAGCAAAAATACCCAAAGTTATCGCTCGTAAAACTCACGCCGTAATAATTAGGGCAGTATACCCCATATATTTAGTATCCAGTCCGCTCGAACTTTTTACGCGTTGGATCGAAATGTATGTATGCAGCAAAATGTATATAGGATCTTACTAATCATGACCTTTTTCAATCTATTTTTTAAGATTTCTCGCTCCAGTCCACACTTCAAATTTGAGTGATTTGAGTCAGCAAAATTCTTTCCTCCATATAGCTTTGTGAGTTTCTGTTAGTGGAGTAGGCTGTAGACCTATAAAGCATAGAAGTGTTCTTATTCAATCTTTCATAGAAGACTCCTTGTATTATATTCCAGTGAAAGTATGACAGTTACATAAAAAACTTTAGTTCAAAGAGAGTCAATGAATAGCAAGAGCTAGTAAAATCGATGGTACGATGAGTTTTGTGCTCCGACCGACCGATTATTCATAGTTATTACTGAGAAAATGCAATCATTTCTATTGCTAATTTGGAAGAAATTCAAACTGCAGTGTTCTCTAGTTGAAGCGATAGTTGCTTGAACTAGTTTCTATGTGCTAATAGCGATTTCGTAATTTTTATCAGCTTGATTAAACCCTAACTTTGTTGTTGTTTACAAAACCAACTAGAAGAGGCAGCGTGAGCTCATCCAAAAGGGTTCTCATTTTAATAAAGCCTTACCTAGAATTTTGATTTTTTCGTAATGCAACACTAAAGGTCCACCGTCCGCTCCAAAGGTGTCCTTCAACTCTTTTTATAGGCTTGAGAGATCAAAAAGTAAAGGATAGTTTGAAATTGTAATTGAGATATTAAGGTCGACTCTTTAGTTTTATAATAATTGGCAAAATGAAGAAGCCGGTTAGTACAAGTGCATGTTAAAACCGTTAGTAAATCCTAAGGTATGTCCGGCGCGTGGTCGCAGAACTCGCAGTTGAAAACATCCCGAAAAAGGTACTTTTTAACTTTTCTTCCTTTAATGGTGTACGGAACGCTGTAAACAATGGCTCCGATTTTATTAAATAAATAAATAATTGTCAAGAAATAAAATCGAACTACGCAATGGTCGTCGGTGCTGTAGGCTGAGATGAAGTAGCTAGTTTAATGCCATCATCATCTCTGAGAATTTTAGTGGCAAATTGTGTTATGCAACGATTGCTTGCTTAAACGGCCTGGAATAAATTTTCTTTCTGATGTGTTCACTACGTAATCTACTCGTAACTCAAAGATCCATTCATTTAAGAAAATATGCGCGTTACTTTTCCAACTTATTGTATCATCACAATTTTGAATTATGTCTGTAGTCCGTTTCGCCGTTAATTTATATTCAAAGCC